ATTGAGTAAACAAAACGGTAAAGGGCAGAAAGTCTGCACAACCCACTGTACCACACGCCACGGTTACTGCTCCTCCAAACAGCCTCCGCCATAATCGATCCTCGACGAGCATTTAGAGAAATTCGATTTCCTGGGAGGCGGCGCGCCCGCATCCGTTTCCGGGTCGGAGGACCTGGGAGTCCGGAACGCCAACATTTGAGAAATGACAAACGGCTCATTTCGGAGGACTCACACGCATCTGCTTGACGCCGGGACGAACGGCGACCCTCCCCGACAGGCGCTCGGAAGCGAAGGCCCGCCCACAACTGCGTGCACGTCTGTGACCGCAGTTTTAATTATTATTATTATTAAATATCAGATGTATAGTATATCATGTCACATGTATGTTTGTTTAATGATGTGTAGAAATATGTGTGGTTGCATTCTAGCCACTTTTCAATTTCAACACTGCTGCTTCTATGAAAAATGTTTAGTTGAGCAACCACAGTTCATGAACTGTGGTTGCACAACTAAAATGCCCAGCCTCTGATGTGAGAGCCTCTGATGTGAGGGCCTCTGGTTCCTGGTGCTGCCTGGCAGAGTGTCGGTGCCGCTGTTTTGCCTTGGTGCAAAAAGTGAAATCAGTGTGGCCAATTAAAGGTACAAGCAGTTTTGTTTTTAGAGATGGATGGACTAAATACCGCAGGAGCACACTGAGGCCTGAAGCCAGGAGACTGGGAATCTAAACCAAGTTCACTTTCACAACATTCATGTACTTACTTTTTCCACTTCCTCACTCCAGAGCTGAGAGGCCAAAGCATACAAAAAAAGAAGAAGAGAAAAACAGAAGTCATAACAAGGATATTTGTTTTATTCCCAGAAGCCTCTCTGATTACTGGTAGGCTACCCCTCGATTCCACCGGGTCCGTCTGCGTCGCATCACGGCTGCGCCGCGGTTTTGGTCCGGCCTCCTCCGGCGTCATACCCTACCGGGGACGTTTCAGGAGCGTTTCAGGAGCATTTCAGAAGCGAACCGTCTTGCCTGCCGGCTCGCAGTTTTTGTTGATTTGGGCATATTTCCTGGACAGGCTACTTTGTACAGACAAAGTTAATAATACTTGTAATATTCCAGTTATAAATGACATAAATCAAAGATGTGTTGCTGTATTTTACTGGTAAAAAAATGCATTCATCATCATAATTATTCTATATATATAATTTACACAGTGCCTGTAAACCGGAGGAGAATGCTGGCATTTCTCCTCCTACTTGAAAGACTAAGGAGGGATAGGGTCTGCAAATTAGTTTGTTTTGGGGATGGGCCGGATGCTCTGACCGGTCCACTTGCTGCCCGGCGCCTCTGCAACGCGTAGAAAAATAGACTTCAATCCTATTTTGAGCGGAGCCCAGCGCCGACACGCTTCTGGGACGCTTCTGAGCCGTAACGCGGCGCGTCTGGTGGAATAGCACCCATTGACTAGAGTGGCCGCGATCTTTGCGAACGTCGCGGCGCAACCGTAACGCAACGCAACGCAGACGGACCCGGTGGAATCTAGGGGTAATATGTCTTTAGAATGTATTCTGATAGTCAATAAAGACAAACAATGCTTTTGGATTAACGCTGTATTTCGCCTGATATTTACACTGAAATATCATTTTGCCACTACTTTACTTATTTGGAGATTAATTTGTTTCAACGAGAAAGGGGTTATTCAGATGATTAAGTTATGAAATGCTCCAACCAGCTGCTGCTCTCTGTTTTCTGTTTGCGTCTGTGCTACACAAAATATCTTTAATGGTCACATATTTAGTTTGAAAGGCTGAGTTGCTATGGGTGACACCTCGTTGTGGTGTACACTGCGAGTCAATTTAGGATGAGTGAATCCCCCACACTAATTATACAACTATTTGAGTAAGAGGGATTGTTATGGTAACTTGCACTTAGTCATAATATTTACAGCTCCATGTTCCTCAAGAGGCTGAGAGATCAGTGCCAGGGCAGTGTACATTGGCTAGTTGTGGTCCAGATGAGAGAAATAGAAGGGGGATCAAGACAAATAGAAACAGAAGGAGACAGTGAAGAATTAAAGGAATTGGAGGGTGATGAATAACAAAAAATAAAATGATATATTATTATAAATATAAGTGTTACACCAAAAACAGCAGCTTCAGTGTGAGGTTTCAAAATTCTTTACTGACAATTGTTTGTCTTTAGATTAGAGCTTCACCACTAGATCTGGTGAAGCATCAACCAAAATATAACTTGATATGTCAGACTAGTTTTGGGTTAACCTGCGAATGTGACGATCGGTATGAATCTTTGCCATATTTTTTTAAATGAAGTTCTTATGGACAATATGTGCGAGTGTGTGGTATACTGACTACAACTGCTAATCTCTGCATAGGAGTAGAGGAGGAGCATAGTAGGTCATTATATACAGCATATTTCATTTAACCCAAAACACACTTCCTTTAACCCTCCTACTCCCATGGCAGATTCTCTGTCTTGTTTTGTTTTTGGTTAATGAACGACATCCTTCTGCTCTGCTAGACGATTGCTGTGGAGGGTTGGCCAACATTTAGCATTCCTGCATAAATCAGATGTTACACAGAGGTCAGGAGTGCAACTCTGAGGTTACCACATCCGGACCATGAACAGTAATAAAGCACTGATTCAGAGCCATTTACAATAAGTGAATGCAGATGTACAGTACTGAAGGATTTTTGAAAGCACTCTGTTTCTGAATGTGCACATTGATCCTGAAGTGGATTCATTATTCTAAAAGGATTATTTTACAATAATCACTCCTTACCGCAGATGCACTGGCAGAAAGCACATAGTTTCGGGGTCTGGTCTCCTGAAAATCTGGAGCCGTCTGCAGAAACAGTAAGGGATTCAAACTACTGTGTTCTCAGTTTATACATTGGACCACACTTTGGCTCATGATATGAATCGAGAAATGCAGAAAAAAAGAACAATCAGAAAGCTCAGTAGAAATAAAACAATGATCTTGGTGAGTTACACTGTAAGATGACATGGAACAGTATACGATCTGTGCATTAGTAACACTGGGTGGATTTCAGTTTTTACAGAATATTCATACAAAAGTGAATCATTTAATATCATCATATTTTATGATATGAGTGTAAAGTCATTTATGCGGTCCATCTCTTAAATAGAAGTCAGAAAGTCTCGCAAAGATGACTTTAATTTGATTTTTCTCTTTAATTTAAAACTGTTAAATACAAGCTTTCCAATTTGTTCTTGATTTAGAAATTCAAAGCCGTGGGGGCGGTTGCATACCTGTTAATACCTGACAGCACATTTTAACATTGGGTGTGTCTGAAATCATAAAAGAAAGGTGCAGAGAAATGATGCAACACAACTGTGTAAACATTCGCACCAGTGAAACTAGTGACTAATCTGTCCGGTTCACTGACTTGACTCAGACACTGCAAACAGGTTTTGTTTCTATTTTTAGACTTAAGCAGTGCTTTGTCATGCACATGCTAACATGCATAAACGTAGCAAAAGTCTGACTGTGGCAGTGGCCAAAATGTTTGACTTTGCTATGGTCATTCTGAAAACAGAACTGCTAATACAAGTCAGACTTTTCTAGTTTTCATAGAACAAAGTAAAAATGGGAAGAAAATGATGAATTATAATCTTCTTTTCTTGGCATATGGCTTGGTTTCTGCCTGAGCAGTAGAAACAAAGCTTAAACCTCAAATAGAATGTTGTGCAGGATTCATTACAATGTGTAAGGAACCCAAACTCCTTGCTGCTGTGGCTGGAGGTGCTGCACAGCCACCTGGTGGACACACCATGTAGTATGTGTGTTCTCAGTCTGAAGACTTGTGAGGGCCCAGAATGACTCAAAGTGCTTTTTCGTCTTTCAAAGTGGGGCTGTATTGGACAGTCCTCCACAGTCAGTACCTCTTTGCTCTGTATTGGCTTTATTTGCACCTTCTGTCTTTTTTGTTTATTGACCAGATTTGATTATATTTCTCTCACAGATGCCTTCACACTTAACCTGCCATATTTTATTCACAGCAGCAATATAAAGAACTGTTCAGAAAATATATTTCTATTAAAGTTACATTTGATAGTCATAGAGACTATAAGTGAATAATTTTCCAATAATGAAGTAAAATTTTCTTCAATAAATTTAAAGCTTTTTCTGCAAAGTGTCAACTTCAGGCCGAAGTTGTTTTTCCAGTCCATTGCTTTTTTTTTTTACCGATGATTAATATTTTTTTATCACCAATAAATGCATGGAATAAATAACTAATTCAAAGCAAGTGAGAAAAGAAAAACAACCCAACATGTGCATCACACTGAAAGACCTTAAAACCACATTTAATACTCACTTCCCCGTCACACTGCAAAGGTTATGAACACAGAGTCATGGTTAATGCCAGCAACACTTTCAGTACATTTTAAAAGGGGATGTGGCTGCCCGAGGACTCACCGCAGACCTGGCCTCAGTCGCCTTGGCCTTCTTCAGACGGGTCTTACAGGAATCAAGGTCCAAGCGCAGATTTTCCAGAAGACGCCGTTCTTTCTGAAATACACACAATAACACAGTGAGAAAATACTGTCCACCGGGGGTCAGCACGAGTAAAGCAACCATGTTGACCTTCCCCACCCCACCCCTGGTGGCCACGTTCAAATTTGACAGGAATAAGGTTTTGCACCTGTGGAACTCTTTACTTTGTCTCAAACTGGTTTTCTATACCCTTGGTAGAAAAAAAAATCATGGAAACAAAAATATAAATCCAGATTCAACCTCTGCCAGGCTATTGTTACCAACTCTTCCATTGTCCAAGTCCTCCTCATAACTTACAAAGCCCTCAACAACCAGGCCCCCCCCTACCTCACAGACCTGCTGCACCACCACACCCCTTCCCGCTGCCTCCGCTCATCAGAAGCCAACCTCCTATCCATCCCCACCCGCACCAATCACCGGACCTTGTGGGACAGAGCCTTCTCCGTCGCTGCCCCCTCCCTCTGGAACTCACTCCCACAACCCATCAGAGACTGCACCAACCTCACCACCTTCAAAAAACTCACAAAAACTCACCTCTTCAATCTGTTCAATCTGGCTTTTCATGTGTGATTGTTTTTGTATTATTTGACTTTAACTTTAACTATATATTTATTTGTTGTTCCTTTCTTCTCTTTTCTTTCTATTTCTTCACTATTATCTGTAAAGCGCCTTTGAGCATCTGTGAAAGCGCTAACAAATTAAATCTATTATTATTATTATTATTATTGTTCAGACCCAAATAACAGTATTGATGTCTGGTGGGGACCCCGAACTTCTCAAAGATACTTTTTAGAAATGTATTATAAAAGCCCAGCCTCTTGACTCAACATGACTACTTCAATCACTTTAAAACGATATAATCAGTGGGTAGACATGGTCAAGATGATCATTTTGCCAATCATATTAGTATTTAGTGTCTAAAGTGCTTTAATGTTCAAAAAGCTCTTTCTTTTTTCTCATCCTCATGTCTACATGCATTTAGGCATGGAGACATGGTGAAGAGGACCTGGGGCTCATTTATAAAACTTTGCGTAGAAGTCACGTGAAAAGATGGCGTCGAAGGAACAAAGGAAGTGCTTACTCAAAAAATATTCTGATATACAAAACAGTGTGGACGCGTGTCCTCCACGGTTTGGTTTCCCTTTATAAATCAATATCAACTCGAAAAGCGGCGCAGCTTTTGCGGGTTGAAAGTAACGCCCATACTTGCCTATAGATAGTCAAATAAACCTCCTGTATGAATATTAATTTAGACTGATTGCATGAAGAAGATCGCAGGAAAAGCCGATAGAACAGCTACAAAATGTAAAATGTCGCAACAGGTTTGCCGGACACACATGGTAACTCAGATGTAACGTAAGGTTCTTCCCTTTCAGAAAATGATAGTAAGCCAAGTGCAACCAAGCTGGGTTTGCAGATGTATTTACAAACAGTA